TGTGTGTGCGGCAGTGGATGATCGCTGTCTGTGTAAGTCGTGTCGCCTGTGTGTATGCCAGTGGATGATCGCTGTCTGTGTAAGTCGTGTACACCTGTGTGTGCGGCAGTGGATGATCGCTGTCTGTGTAAGTCGTGTACACCTGTGTGTACGGCAGTGGATGATCGCTGTCTGTGTAAGTCATGTCGCCTGTGTGTACGGCAGTGGATGATCGCTGTCTGTGTAAGTCGTGTCGCCTGTGTGTACGGCAGTGGATGATCGCTGTCTGTGTAAGTCGTGTACACCTGTGTGTACGGCAGTGGATGATCGCTGTCTGTGTAAGTCATGTCGCCTGTGTGTGCAGCAGTGGATGATCACTGTCTGTGTAAGTCGTGTCGCCTGTGTGTACGGCAGTGGATGTGTGCCGCATCTCAAACCTCCGGCAGATGGCTGTCAGTGGTGTTCCATTGTCACTGTTGGTGCGTGTTGCAGGAGGCACAGTGTCCACCTGGCTGCGCGGTCTGTACCGATTCTGCCCGCTGTCCACCTCCTCACGGGAGGGTGATGAAGCTGGGATCCAGGGCAGCCTTCCATGAACTCACTGCACATGGGAGGGGAGGGCCTGGCAGCCGGAGGGGCCTGGCAGCCGGAGGGGGCTGGCAGCCGGAGGGGGCTGGCAGCCGGAGGGGCCTGGCAGCCGGAGGGGGCTGGCAGCCGGAGGGGGCTGGCAGCTGGGGGGGCTGGCAGCTGAGGGGGGCTGGCAGCCGGAGGGGGCTGGCAGCTGAGGGGGGGCTGGCAGCTGTGGGAGGCCTGGCAGCTGGGGGGGCTGGCAGCTGGGGGGGCCTGGCAGCAGCCAGGGGGGGCTGACAGCCGGGAAGGTGAAGCTGGTGCTGGGGGGACTGGCAGCTGGGGGGGCTGGCAGCTGGGGGGGCCTGGCAGCAGCCAGGGGGGGCTGACAGCCGGGAAGGTGAAGCTGGTGCTGGGGGGACTGGCAGCTGGAGGGGGCTGGCAGCAGCCGGGGGGCTGGCAGCTGAGGGGGCTGGCAGCTGAGGGGGCTGGCAGCTGAGGGGGGGCTGGCAGCTGAGGGGGCTGGCAGCTGAGGGGGCTGGCAGCTGAGGGGGCTGGCAGCTGAGGGGGGGCTGGCAGCTGAGGGGGCTGGCAGCTGAGGGGGGCTGGCAGCTGAGGGGGGGCTGGCAGCTGAGGGGGCTGGCAGCTGAGGGGGCTGGCAGCTGGGGGGGCTGGCAGCTGAGGGGGCTGGCAGCTGAGGGGGCTGGCAGCTGAGGGGGCTGGCAGCTGAGGGGGGGCTGGCAGCTGAGGGGGGGCTGGCAGCTGAGGGGGCTGGCAGCTGGAGGGGACTGGCAGCTGCCGGGGGGCTGGTGGCTGGGGGGAGGGAACTGTGGTCCTCCCCACTCTTGCTCTGGTGGGCACAGGTCCTCTCCCTCAGGACCCAGGCAGAGTGACTGGCCAGGTCTCAGGAGGCGATGTTGGTTGCAGAGGTTTTTGTATTTCCCCTCCTCCTCCTTCTCCCCTTCCCCTCCTCCTCCCCTCTCCCTCCTCCCCCTCCCCTCCCCCTCCCCTCCTCTTCCTCCTCCTCCTCCCCCTCCCCCTCCCCCTCCTCCTCCCTCCTTTTCCCCCTCCTCCTCCCTTCCCCATCCTCCTCCCCCTCCTCCCCTTCCCCTCCTCCTCCTCTCCTCTTCCTCTTCCCCTCCTCCTCCTCCTCCTCCCCCTCCTCCTCCTCCTCCCCCCTCCTCCTCCCCCCCTCCTTTTCCCCCTCCTCCTCCCTTCCCCATCCTCCTCCCCCTCCTCCCTTTCCCCTCCTCCTCCTCCCCTCTTACTCTTCCCCTCCTCCTCCTCCTCCTCCCCCTCCTCCTCCTCCTCCTCCCCCTTCTCCTCCTCCTCCTCCTCCTCCCCCTCCTCCTCCTCCTCCCCTCCTCCTCTCCTCCCCCTCCCCTCCTCCTCCCCCTCCTCCTCCTCCTCCCCTTCCTCCTGCCCTCCCCCTCCCTCTCCTCCCCCTCCTCCCCCTCCCCCTCCTCCTCCCTCCCCTCCGCCTCCTCTCTCCTCCCCCTCCTCCTCCCCCTCCCCTCCCCCTCCTCCTCCCCTTCCTCCCCTCCCCCTCCCTCTCCTCCCCCTCCCTGTCCCCCTCCCTCCCCTCCCCCTCCTCTCCTCCTCCCCCTCCTCCTCCCCCTCCTCCCCCTCCCCTCCCCTCCTCCTCCTCCTCCCCCTCCCCTCCCCTCCTCCTCCCCTCCTCCTCCTCCCCTCCTCCTCCTCCCCTCCTCCTCCTCCTCCTCCTCCTCCCCTCCTCCTCCTCCTCCTCCCCTCCTCTCCTCCTCCCCCTCCTCCTCCCCTCCCCTCCTCCTCTTCCCCCTCCTCCTCCTCCCCTCCCCCTCCTCCTCCTCCCCCTCCTCCTCCTCCCCTCCTCCTCTTCCTCCTCCTCCCCCTCCCCTCCTCCTCTCCTCCCTCCTCCTCCTCCCCTCCTCCTCCTCCTCCCCTCCCCCTCCCCTCCCCCTCCTTCTCCTGCTCCCTCCCCTCCCCCTCCTCCTCCCCCTCCTCCTCCTCCCCCTCCTTCTCCCCTCCCCCTCCTCCTCACCTTCCCCTCCTCCTCCTCCTCCTCCTCCTCCCCTCCTCCTCCCCTCCCCCTCCTCCTCCTCCCCCTCCTCCTCCCTCCCCTCCTCCTCCCCCTCCTCTCCCCCTCCTTCTCCTCCTCCCCTCCTCCTCCCCTCCTCCTCCCCTCCCCCTCCTCCTCCTCCTCCTCCTCCCCCTCCTCCTCCCCTCCTCCTCCTCCTCCTCCCCCTCCTCCTCCCTCCCCTCCTCCTCCCCCTCCTCTCCCCCTCCTTCTCCTCCTCCCCTCCTCCTCCTGCCTTCCTCCCCCTCCTCCTCCCCCTCCTCCCTCCTCCTCCTCCTCCCCTCCTCCTCCTCCTCCCCCTCCTCCTCCCTTCCTCCTCCCCTCCCCTCCCCTCCCCCTCCACCGGGGCAGCTCCTGGAGAAGGCACAGGCTGTGGCTGTGGAAGTTGCTGGCCTCCTGCGGGCCCTCTCGCTGGCCTCCCACCAAGGGCGCTGCCTGTGTCGGCCACGATGCCGATGCCGGGTGGAAGGCCCCTCACCTCGGCCCGAGGGCCTGCGGGGAGAACCGCCTCCTGTCCCTCCCCACCGCAGCCTCCAGGGCTGGAAGCTGAGCCGCCTCCATCCAAACGCATTCAGCAGGGAGGGGGAAAGAGCGGCCCCCAGCACAGCAGAGCCGAGGGCGAGCAGCGGAGGAGGAAGTCAAATTATATACGTATGTGCGTGTGTGTGTGCATGTGTGTGTGCATGTGTGTGCATGTGTGTGCATGTGTGTGTGCATGTGTGTGCATGTGTGTGCATGTGTGTGCATGTGTGTGTGCATTTGTGTGCATCTGTGTGTACATGTCTATGAACTACAAACGACCCACGCCTAAGCAACTGAAGGGCTGAAGAAGATGTGGAGGAGAGGGCACGGTACCGCCAGGGTGCGGGGGATGGGCACGGTACCGCCAGGGTGCGGGGGATGGGCACGGTACCGCCAGGTTGCGGGGGATGGGCACGGTACCGCCAGGGTGCGGGGGATGGGCACGGTACCGCCAGGGTGCGGGGGATGGGCACGGTACCGCCAGGGTGCGGGGGATGGGGGGGACCGTGCACCTGGACCCCTCTGTGGGCCGCCCAGGCCACAGATCACTCTACACCTGTTGGAGGTCTGTGCTCTGATCTAAGTTCCCAGGAAACAAATTCAGCTTCAACCTATAATGAAGCTCCGAGGTGTTGGAAGTGTACTGGAGTTATACTGGACTTACTCCGTTAGCCTGGAAGCCAACAGCCTCAGAATGAGGACCACAGGGACAGACAGGGGCTCCGAGGTAGAGGCTGGACCCACAGAGGTTGCAATGGTGTCTGAGGATGGGGTGTGGGCTCTGGTACAGGGCAACCTGTGTGTCTGCCTCCCCCCCCGCCACCTTCCCTCCAGTTCATGCTAGGCTGTCTGTCTGTCTGTCTGTCTGAAGCTCAGCCTTCTCCCTGGAGAAACCGGGTCTGAACAACCCCTTCTCTTCCTGTCCTCTGGGGCCACCCCCAGTCTCGTTCTTTCTCCCCACAGGGTGCTGACAGCCCTCTGACCTCCTCCAGAAGTGTAGATCAGGCTTTCACCCACCAGATAGAAGACACCTCAAAGATGCCAGGTCCAGCCGTCCAAAGGTTTGAGATCCTCACCAGGTGCTGTGACTTACACTTTTAATCCCAGCTACTCAGGAGGCTGAGATCTGAGGATCATGATTCAAAACCAGTGTGGGCAGGAAAGCCCGTGAGATTCTTTGTCTCCAAGTAACCCCCAGAAATCCAGAAGTGGGGCTGTGGCTGCACTGTGACCACGGCGTGGGGGCAGGGATGTGGGGTGGGAAGCGGAGGTGAGCAGTGAAGCCGGCCTCGGCGTCCGCACTGCCAGCACCCTGGAGAGTCTCCACAAACCACGCTGCCCAGCCACAGATACTTTCCAGTCCAACTTGCATTCACCGAAGACCAAACACCACACCGACGCACAGGAGGAGAGCCATGAGTCTGATTTAGAAAAAACAAAAACATTGAAATTTGCTTTTCCATTTGGAAAAAAAGGCCAAATTAATAGGAATACACCAATCATCACACTTGCTGATGGCACTCTTTGAACAGGGCAGCCTTTGCCATCAGTAGGAAATGTCAGCGTGTCACACACGTCAGAGGCCAGTGACATAGGACCAGTCTGCAGTGGTCCTGAGTGGCGAGGCCTCGGCCCCACAGGATGGACCCCGCAAGCTGAGTGGACGGGTGGCCCGGCTGGGCGGGCGGCCTGGGCGGTAACTCTCAAGCCTCACCTCCGTCTGTGGTTCTAAACATTGCTTCTATTTCCACTTGCTTGTACCCACATTTCCTGGTGCCTTTATTAATGTTTGCACTAATGTAAGTGTTCGGTGTGTGTCACCTGGTAGAAAGCCGTGCCGCTGTCTGTGAAGGGAGGGGAAGCCGAGGCAGGTGGGTCAGGGCCTGGCGGGCACGGGCTGGCGGGCACGGGCTGGCGGGCACGGGCTGGGGGCACGGGCTGGCGGGTCGGGGCCTGGGGGCACGGGCGGCGGGCACGGGCTGGCGGGTCGGGGCCTGGGGGCACGGGCTGGCGGGTCGGGCCTGGGGACACGGGCTGGCGGGTCGGGGCCTGGGGGCACGGGCTGGCGGGTCGGGGCCTCGGGGCACGGGCTGGCGGGCACGGGCTGGCGGGTCGGGGCCTGGCGGGTCGGGGCCTGGGGGCACGGGCTGGCGGGTCGGGGCCTGGCGGGCACGGGCTGGCAGGTCGGGGCCTCGGGGCACGGGCTGGCGGGCACGGGCTTGCGGGTCGGGGCCTGGCGGGTCGGGGCCTGGGGGCACGGGCTGGCGGGTCGGGGCCTGGCGGGCACGGGCTGGCGGGTCGGGGCCTGGCGGGCACGGGCTGGCGGGTCGGGGCCTGGCGGGCACGGGCTGGCGGGTCGGGGCCTGGGGGCACGGGCTGGCGGGTCGGGGCCTGGCGGGTCGGGGCCTGGGGGCACAGGCTGGCGGGTCGGGGCCTGGGGGCACGGGCTGGCGGGTGGGGGCCTCGGGGCACGGGCTGGCGGGTCGGGGCCTGGCAGGCACGGGCTGGCGGGCACGGGCTGGCGGGTCGGGGCCTGGCGGGTCGGGGCCTGGGGGCACGGGCTGGCGGGCACGGGCTGGCGGGCACGGGCTGGCGGGTCGGGGCCTGGCGGGTCGGGGCCTGGGGGCACGGGCTGGCGGGTCGGGGCCTGGGGGCACGGGTTGGAGGGCACGGGCTGGCGGACACGGGCTGGCGGGTCGGGGCCTGGCGGGCCGGGGCCTGGGGACACGGGCTGGCGGGCACGGGCTGGCGGGTCAGGGCCTGGGGGCACGGGCTGGCGGGCACGGCCTGGCGGGCACGGGCAGGCGGGGTCGGGGCCTGGCGGGCACGGGCTGGCGGGTCGGGGCCTGGGGGCACGGGCAGGCGGGTCGGGGCATGGCGGGCACGGGCTGGCGGGTCGGGGCCTGGGGGCACGGGCTGGCGGGTCGGGGCCTGGCTGGCACGGGCTGGCGGGTCCGGGCCTGGCGGGCACGGGCTGGCGGGTCGGGGCCTGGTGGCACGGGCTGGCGGGTCGGGGCCTGGGGGCACGGGCTGGCGGGTCGGGGCCTGGCGGGTCGGGGCCTGGGGGCACGGGCTGGCGGGTCGGGGCATCGGGGCACGGGCTGGGGGGCACGGGCTGGCGGGTCGGGGCCTGGGGGCACGGGCTGGCGGGCACGGGCTGGCAGGTCGGGGCCTGGCGGGTCGGGGCCTGGGGGCACGGGCTGGCGGGTCGGGGCCTGGCGGGCACGGGCTGGCGGGTCGGGGCCTGGGGGCACGGGCTGGCGGGGTCGGGGCCTGGCGGGCACGGGCTGGCGGGCACGGGCTGGCGGGTCGGGGCCTGGCGGGCACGGGCTGGCGGGCACGGGCTGGCGGGTCGGGGCCTGGCGGGTCGGGGCCTGGGGGCACGGGCTGGCGGGCACGGGCTGGCGGGCACGGGCTGGCGGGTCGGGGCCTGGCGGGTCGGGGCCTGGCGGGTCGGGGCCTGGGGGCACGGGCTGGCGGGTCGGGGCCTGGGGGCACGGGCTGGAGGGCACGGGCTGGCGGGCACGGGCTGGCGGGTCGGGGCCTGGCGGGTCGGGGCCTGGGGGCACGGGCTGGCGGGTCGGGGCCTGGGGGCATGGGCTGGCGGGTCGGGGCCTGGCGGGTCGGGGCGTGGGGACATGGGCTGGCGGGCACGGGCTGGCGGGTCGGGGCCTGGGGGCACGGGCTGGCGGGCATGGCCTGGCGGGCACGGGCAGGCGGGTCGGGGCCTGGGGGCACGGGCAGGCGGGTCGGGGCCTGGGGGCTCGGGCTGGCGGGCACGGCCTGGTGGGCACGGGCAGGTGGGTCGGGGCCTGGGGGCACGGGCTGGCGGGCACGGCCTGGCGGGCACGGGCAGGTGGGTCGGGGCCTGGCGGGCACGGGCTGGCGGGTCGGGGCCTGGCGGGCACGGGCTGGCGGGTCGGGGCCTGGGGGCATGGGCAGGCGGGTCGGGGCGTGGTGGGCACGGGCTGGCGGGTCGGGGCCTGGCGGGCAAGGGCTGGCGGGTCGGGGCCTGGGGGCACGGGCAGGCGGGTCGGGGCCTGGCGGGCACGGGCTGGCGGGTCGGGGCGTGGCGGCACGGGCTGGCGGGTCGGGGCCTGGGGGCACGGGCTGGCGGGTCGGGGCCTGGCTGGCACGGGCTGGCGGATCGGGGCCTGGGGGCATGGGCAGGCGGGTCGGGGCCTGGCGGGCACGGGCTGGCGGGTCGGGGCCTGGGGGCATGGGCAGGCGGGTCGGGGCCTGGGGGCACGGGCTGGAGGGCACGGGCTGGTGGGCACGGGCTGGCGGGTCGGGGCCTGGGGGCATGGGCTGGCGGGTCGGGGCCTGGGGGCACGGGCTGGCGGGTCGGGGCCTGGGGACACGGGCTGGCGGGCACGGGCTGGCGGGCACGGGCTGGCGGGCACGGGCTGGCGGGTCGGGGCCTGGGGGCATGGGCTGGCGGGTCGGGGCCTGGGGGCACGGGCTGGAGGGCACGGGCTGGCGGGGCACGGGCTGGCGGGTCGGGGGCCTGGCGGGTCGGGGCCTGGGGACACGGGCTGGCGGGCACGGGCTGGCGGGTCGGGGCCTGGGGGCACGGGCTGGCGGGTCGGGGTCTGGGGGCACGGGCAGGCGGGTCGGGGCCTGGCGGGCACGGGCTGGCGGGTCGGGGGCCTGGCGGGCACGGGCTGGCGGGTCGGGGCGTGGCGGGCACGGCCTGGCGGGTCGGGACCTGGGGGCACGGGCTGGCGGGTCGGGGCCTGGCTGGCACGGGCTGGCGGGTCGGGGCCTGGGGGCATGGGCAGGCGGGTCGGGGCCTGGCGGGCACGGGCTGGCGGGTGGGGGCCTGGGGGCATGGGCAGGCGGGTCGGGGCCTGGGGGCACGGGCTGGAGGGCACGGGCTGGCGGGCACGGGCTGGCGGGTCGGGGCCTGGCGGGTCGGGGCCTGGGGGCACGGGCTGGCGGGTCGGGGCCTGGGGACACGGGCTGGCGGGCACGGGCTGGCGGGCACGGGCTGGCGGGCACGGGCTGGCGGGTCGGGGCCTGGGGGCATGGGCTGGCGGGTCGGGGCCTGGGGGCACGGGCTGGAGGGCACGGGCTGGCGGGCACGGGCTGGCGGGTCGGGGCCTGGCGGGTCGGGGCCTGGGGACACGGGCTGGCGGGCACGGGCTGGCGGGTCGGGGCCTGGGGGCACGGGCTGGCGGGCACGGCCTGGCGGGCACGGGCAGGCGGGTCGGGGCCTGGGGTCACGGGCTGGCGGGTCGGGGCCTGGGGGCATGGGCAGGCGGGCACGGGCTGTCGGGCACGGGCTGGCGGGTCGGGGCCTGGGGGCATGGGCAGGCGGGTCGGGGCCTGGGGGCACGGGCTGGAGGGCACGGGCTGGCGGGCACGGGCTGGCGGGTCGGGGCCTGGCGGGTCGGGGCCTGGGGACACGGGCTGGCGGGCACGGGCTGGCGGGTCGGGGCCTGGGGGCATGGGCAGGCGGGTCGGGGCCTGGCGGGCACGGGCTGGCGGGTCGGGGCCTGGGGGAATGGGCAGGCGGGTCGGGGCCTGGGGGCACGGGCTGGAGGGCACGGGCTGGCGGGCATGGGCTGGCGGGTCGGGGCCTGGCGGGTCGGCGCCTGGGGACACGGGCTGGCGGGCACGGGCTGGCGGGTCAGGGCCTGGGGGCACGGGCTGGCGGGCACGGGCTGGCGGGTCGGGGCCTGGGGACACGGGCTGGCGGGCACGGGCTGGCGGGCACGGGCTGGCGGGTCGGGGCCTGGCGGGTCGGGGCCTGGGGGCACGGGCTGGCGGGCATGGGCAGGCGGGTCGGGGCCTGGGGGCACGGGCTGGCGGGTCGGGGCCTGGTGGGCATGGGCTGTTCCTGGCTTCTGAGCAGAACAGCTAGGAAGTGGGTGGTGTCCCACGGAGCAGAACCAGACAACGGTTCCGTGTTCTACAAGAAGCCTAGCGTGTTCTGAGGTGAGAAAATTGTCATCTAGAAACAAGGGTGAGGAACACGAAGACTCGGTCATCTTCCAGCAGTAAGTGCGTTCAGCACTTGCTCCTCTGAGGAGAAGGCAGTCTCCACTCGGCTTCTGGTGTGGGTGTGGTTCCACCCAGAGCACCCTGCTGTCTGTGGTACTCACGGGAATCCTTCCGTTTTCCAGCCTTTCGCAGGCGAGGAGTGGAGTTGGCGTGGTTAAGTTTCTGACTTGCATATAAAGTATGTATGTTTTGTCATTTTGTTACTCAGAGGAAGCAATGGAAGTACTAATGATCACATTCCTACTTTGTTAACTACAAAACTCATAAAGGCACTAAAGATAGAAGATAATGATTCCTTACACATGAGATTTTACAGACATGGAATTTTTTTAGTTGAAGAGATACTTTATAGATATATAATATCCTAAGTGAACATTATGAAAAAAATTACCTCAACCTGTTAACATCATTACCCTAGAGAAGAATGACAGAAGGCTAGATGTGTTCTAGGTAATAATATGTAATGTTCCTATGTATGTCATAGTTGTATTTCTAGGTATGGTATGTCAGGAGTGATCATCTACATTCGTAAACTTAGCATCTTTGCTTTGCTGTTCCACAGACCAGTGAAAATACTATCATGCCTTTGTTCAAGTGAATGGATTCTCATTGGAGCAGCAGCTGTGAACGCTGATGCTGCCAGTTTTGCCTCTTATGATGAGGGTGTGTCATTGAATGTCTCTGAACTTCACTTCCCTCCCAGATAGCCTGGGCCACATATGGCTATGGGCCAGTAGCCCTTAGAATAAGGCCCTGGGAGCCATCCCTGGACTTCTGTCCAATACGTTGTCCTCACAAACTGCAATCAGAGATCTTTGATCAATAAAGTGAACCTCCCTATTAGAAAATAAAATCAGATGTTATACTTCAGATTAGGTATATGATTTTACTCTCCTAATAAGCTTAATATTTTTGAATCAAGAAAGCTCTTGCTATAATCGTGTTGCTGTAAGAAATGTCTGCCGGGTTATAAGGAGCATCAGGTTTTTATAGACCTGGAAAGAATTGCTGTTCTCCTGTTTCTCGTTATGAAGGTGGCCAGGCGGGGACCACACAAGCAGCCAGACCTTCTGTCCAGGACAGACCTTCTGCCCAGTGACATCGGGCGTGTGGGCATGAGGTCCACATCTTGGCTTCGTTATCATTCTTCTTCTTTGGCCTGTTCTTGGGCTGGCTCAGGTCCTAGGGCTCACTGCGTGGTGGCGCAGACAGCACGACCCCAGAACTGAAAGCGTCCTTTCTGGAAGGGAGCTGAGTGGTGCTGGGAGCCAGGGGTCTGAGGGCAAACCACCTGACTCGTTTCCTTTCCTTGTGTCTGCGGACCACAGCGACCACAGCCAGTAACTCACACATTAAGAGAAAGCCCAGGAAAGCCCCGATGAGCTGGGTGGGCCCACAAGGGAACTTTCTAGTTCAAGCATATACTGAGATGAATCCCAGGCTACCCCAAACTTCACAGATGCAAAGTCCCAGAGCTCTGCCGCAAACATCAGGGCACGGAACTGTGAGCAGAGCCAGCCGTGCAGCTTGATGCCAGCCACGCAGCTTGATGCCAGCCGCGCAGCTTGATGCCAGCCGCGCAGCTTGATGCCAGCCGCCGTGGAGACGCCGACAGCCACAAGCAGGAAGGAAAATGGAAGATAATGCAGGAGATGAGAAGAGCCCAACAAGAACAGCAGACTCCTAGAGGAAAGGGAAGGCCACTGGCTCAATAACCCCACGTGTGAAAATAAGCAACAGAAACCCTCATGGATCAAATAAAGCCAGGGAGTTAAAAGCAGGGTTCCAGAGTCTGAAAGTAAAGTGAAGAAATTAGATCCAACAGACAAGGCATGGGAATGCACTAGTGCACACATGAGTCCTCTCAGACCCCATCAGGGACCAACACTAAGATTTATGGACATAGAAAAAGAAGAGACACACTAAAGACGTTGAGAACCTATGGAAAAAACAATCATGGAAAGCTTCCCCAGTCTCTAGACAGAGGAGGTGAAGTAGCTGTAGAAGGCTTACAGACCTCCAAACGGCAAGATAAGAGGATGAAGACCCCTCCCGACAACAGACAGGGTACACGTGAGGGCCCACAGTTCTCAACACAAGCTCTGAGCGGGAGGAGACCAAGGGTACCATCCCAGACCTGAGAGGTAGAAATGCAAACCTAGCCCAAGGGAGGCAGCAGAAGTATAAACTTCTATCATCAATAAAACTTCAGCTCATGACCGCCAAATCAGCACTGCAAACGATATGCAAAGGAATCCTAACCACAAAAGAAAACAGTCAAAAACAGGAAAACGGAGGAAAAATAAAATCCCATTAGATACATAGGTTAGCAAAAGAGAAATAAAAACCAAGTAGAGTGAGAAAAAAAGATAGGAAATACAACATTCCTTTCAATGTTACCACTGGATTTTAATCGCCTCAACTCTCCTAATCAAAAGACTTACAAGGACAATTTAGATTAAAAGGCCAGATCCGTTTCTTTCCTTTTATCTTTTTAGTTTTGGCTGCTCCCGGGGCTTGAACTCTGGGCCTGAGCTGCTTTTGCTGGAGGTGAGCGCCCTACCGTGGAGCCACAGCCACCTCTCGTGGCTGCTTTGAGTAGCTCATTAGAGATAACTCTTGTAGACCTTCCTACCTGGGATGGCTTCGGCCCACCGTCCTCAGATCCCAGCCTCCTGAGTAGCTAGGATTCCAGGTATGAGCCACGGGTGCCTGGCCCACTCATTTTTGCCTACAACAGAAAATACCTGTCATGGACAAACACAAATACAGGCTTAAGGGGAAAGGGCAGAAACAATTCTTCCAAGCAAACAGGTCTCAGAAGCGAGCAGGGTCTGTACCTGATCCCTATCCTGGAAAACACAAGTTTAAAAAACCAGACTTTGAACCAAAATTCAAGAGGGAAAGAATGGTATTTCACATTAATTAAGGGAATTTAGTGACCCAGTATGGTTGTCAACATGTCCGTACCAAACATTGGCACATCCAGGTTTGTTGGAGACCTTTGGACTTGGAACACTGGTGGAACACACACAGTAGTGGAAGACTTCCTCTCACCCACAGAGGAGTCATTAAAACAAACCAAAATCATCAACAACAAAACCCTCAGAAATAAATGATGGCATCAACCAAATGAACTTAACAGACATCTGCACAGAGGAGTCATTAAAACAAATAAACCAAAATCATCAACAACAAAACCCTCAGAAATAAATGATGGCATCAACCAAATGAACTTAACAGACATCTGCAGAGTATCTTACCCGGTAGCCACCCAGTACATATTCCCAACAGCTTATGGAGTTTCTCCAAAATAGATCGTACTATAGGACATAAAGTATGTCTTAGCAAATACCAGAAAATTCAAATCACGCCCTGTATTTTATTAGACCATAATTAAAACTCAACAGGAATAGATAATACAGATATATCCAAATATACAGAGACTAAGCAATACACTGCTGAATGGTCAGTAGATCATAGAAAAAATAGGAGAAGAAATTTAAAGGTTCCTGGAATCTCATGAAAATGATCACACACCCTACCCAGAGCCTTTGGGGTAAAGCAAAGCATCCCAGAGAGGAAAACCTATAACAACGAATACCCACAGCAACAAAAAGACAAAACAACCCCCAAGGAAACAGCCTCCTGATGCCCCTCAAAATTCCAGTATAAAAAGCAGCCAGTGGCCAACGCCAGTGTCAGCAGGCGAACCCACACTCGTGAAGCCAATGGAGAATGAGAGCCTGCGAAGGACGGACAGATGCAACAGCTCAATGGAATCCTTCCGAGGGCTGGGTCGCAGGGCGGACGCCGACTCTGCACTATGACGGCTGAATCACAGTGGATAAGCACAGTGGAACAGAGAACCCCTGGGGCCGTATCGAGAGGTCTCAGTCCCCATGGTGATGCCTGAAGAGAAACGATTTCAAGACATAATGGCCAAACCTTCCCAAATGTGATCCAACCCCAAAATAATGACTGCTCCCAAAGTTCATTGACATAAACAGGCTAAGCTGAAAGAAAACCAAGCCAGACAAATTGCAGCTAAAATACGGAGAGCTAAACACAAAGACATAATTGAGGAAAGGCAGAGAGAACTCAGCCCGAACAAGCAATGCTGTTCTCGTTTTTGGAAGCCCAGTTGTTACCATTTGATATGTGGGAGGCAGTCAAGTCAACAAAGCAGAGGAAGGGCATTTCATCTCCAGAAGAGGATGCGCAAAGCGTGAAGAAAAATAAAAATCAGTGGTAACGTATCTAAATATTTACAACCTCAGACAAATATTTGAGTTGCCTTTGAGGCAAAAAAAGACACCTCTGGTTTGCCAGGTGACCAGGAGGGAAACAGCGCCAGGGCACCGTCTCCTGTGAGCCGTGGCGAGGAAACGGCCGGAAGACCGGGAGGCTCTTCAAGTGACCCAGCATCAGTCTGTCATCTGTCTATTTTAGTTGACAATGATGGCAATCCTCCAGCCAGGTTCTTCTCGTGGCATCCTGACATAAAATTAAGACTTCTATTTAGCCAACCTTGAGCACTGGTATCAGTCTTGGGAGTTGACCTGTCCCTGCCCAGTTCTCTGGCATCTTGGCTACTAATTCTTTTGATTTGGGGCGACAGTGCTGGGAAAGTGCCAGCGTCTTGGAAGCGTGGTCCAGGAGTGAGCGCGGTGGGGACAGCGCCCGGGCCCGCGGTAGCCTGGCTATGTGACGGAGGGAAGCCAAGCCGCCTCGTGACTGGAGGCATCTTAGCCGTGTGCATTCTTTCTCTCTAGCTCCCAACTTCCTAACAGTGACCACCAATGTGACCACCAATGCAGAAAGCATACACGGGGCATTCAGTCCACTTAAGACAGCATAGAGTCTTTAATTGTTAACGTGTAGTTGAAGCGGAGTTTTGTTTTTCCCAGTTGTATTAGATTCAAGTTAAAGTTTTGATGCAAAGCCACTGGATTTCTTCCGATGGTCAGGGTCCTCCACTGCCAGGTCACAGGCACAACTTCCAACGCTCTGAAATCCAGAAGAAATGAAGCCCGGTATAGCTCTGTCCATAAGAATAGCTAACTGGTAGTCTGCAAACTATAAATTGAGAAGAGGAAGAAAACTACCTTTGTTATCAAGATGAGGTTGACATATAGCCCACTTGCATCTCCCTGATAAGTGTACACAGGATATTTAGTATTTTAAAACTTTATTCTGTAAATGTTATTTTTGGTTTTCTGTTTTTGTGCCAGTCCTGAGGCTTGAACCTGGGCTTGGGCACTGTCCCTGAGCTTTTTTTTTTTGTGTGTGTGTTTTTTTTGCTCAAGGCTGGCATTCTACCACATGAGCCACAGCTCCACTTTTGGTTTTCTTAGGGTACCTTAGTGGAAATAAGAGTCTTACAGACTTTCCTGTTTGGGCTGGCTTTGAACTGCAATCCTCAGATCTCAGCCTCCTGAGTAGCTAGGATTACAGCCACCTGTGCCTGGCTTCTGCAGATGTTTTCTGCAGATGTTTTATAATAGTATAATGAAACTACTCAACAGGGCAAGCAATCATATCAAGTATTTTCACACTTCTTTTCTTTTTTATTTTTATTGTGAAAATACTATACAGGGGGTTACAATTACATGGGCAAGATAATGAGTACATTTCTTATCAAGCATTGTTGCCTCCTCCTTTGTTTCCCCTTCCCATCCTTTCCCATTCTCCTTTTCTTATTAATGAGAACATCCAAGAAAAGATTTAGTGTTTACCCAATAAATGAGTTAAGAATAACTATGAATTTTCTGTTTCTTATTTTAGGGAAGAATTATTGGTAAATCTGGGTTTGGGTGTGACTTAATTAGACTCCACCGTGGAAAGAATGAATAGCATTCTCTACTGTGTTTTGCATCATGCTACAAGAAATAACACTATTTTGAAAATATTTATGAATCCATTATGTGACTTTTGGAAACTGTGAATATTATGCCAGTTGGTTAATAAGGAAAGCTTACCTAACTTATTTTCCTCTTTTTTTCCAGTCCCTAACCAATACATGTCCAATTATGCAGTGCCAGAGTTTCTCATAAAAATGATCAAGGCACAAGAGACAGTCATTCACAGGACCTTTCTTTTTATAATTTAAATTTTATAATTGTGAAGGTGATGTACAGAGGGGTTACAGTTACATAAGTAAGGTAATGAGTACATTTCTTTTTGAAATTTTTTCTCATTTTCTCCCACCCCACCCCCAAGTTCTAAAGTTTATTTACAGCATAGTCTAGTGATGTCACTGTTGCATTGGTTCACCCTTTGTCGACTGCTTCTGTGGTGCCCCTTCCCTTCTGCAGATCAGATAGCTTATAAACAAGACAAAGGGCACAGAAATAAAAAAACAGTGGTAACAGGGAATAAACCAAAGGGGAAAGAAAGAAAGAAAAAAGAGCTGCAAACAGTACCTTTTTAAAAAACAAAAAAAACCTCTTGTTTCCATTTCTTGGAGCTTATTTTGATAAGTATCATTTTATATGGTCATATGCACATAGCTATTGAGCCATTGTGATCCTCTCCTAAGAATATCTTCCTTTGTTCTAAGTGTGCAGATGCTTAAAGTGCTGTTTAATTAATCATGTCCAAGTGTAATTATTTGTCTTTTACTATCCATTGGATTAACTTGTAAGTTTATAGACATATTCTAGTTATTTCAAATGAGAGAAACTATGTAGCTTATGTTTCTTTGGGCCTGGCTTACTTCACTTAATATAGTTTTTTTTCCAAGTCTTTCCATTTCCTTATAAATGGGACAATGTCCTTGTTTCTGATGGAAGCATAGAATTCCATTTTGTATTTATACCACATTTTCTTGATCCACTCATCCACTGAGGGGCATCTGGGTTGATTCCATATCTTGACTATGGTAAACAATGCTGCAATGAACATGGTTGTGCTGCTGGCTTTAGTGTAGCCTGGTTTGTGGTCTATTGGATAGATGCCAAGGAGTGGGATTGCTGGGTCATAGGGAAGCTCTATGTTTAATCTTTTGAGGAACCCCCATACTGCTTTCCAAAGTGGCTGAACAAGTTTACATTCCCACCAATAGTGTAGTAGCATTCCCTTTTGGCCACGTGCCCGCCAGTATCTGTTATTGTTAGTTTTCTTGATCATAGCCGTTCTAACTAAGGTGAGGTAGAATCTCAATGTAGTTTTATTTGCATTTCTTTTGTGGCCAGAGATGTTGAACATTTCTTCATGTGTCTATTGGCCATTCTTATTTCTTCTTTGAAGTCTCTCTTTAAGTTTTTTAGCCCACTTATTCATGAGATTGTTGGTTTTTTGAGGATTTGTTTTTGGGGGGTTAATTTTTTGAATTCTAAGTATATTTTAGATATGAAGCCTTTGTCTGATCTATAGCTAGTGAAGATCTTCCATTTGGTGGGCTTTCTATTTATCTTGCTAGCTATGTCCTTTGCCATGCAATCTAATTTACCCAGCCTTTCTTTGATTTGTTGTGTTTCTAGGTCTTTACTTAGGAAGTTTCGAACTGTGCCACACAGCCCTAGTGTTTCCCCTATCCCTTCATGCAATGTCTTAGGGTGTTTTGTCTTACATTGAGGTATTTGATCCATTTGGATTTGATTCTGGTACAGGGTGATATATAAGGATCTAACTTCAGTTTTCTACACATGTATAGCCAATTCTGCCAGCACCCTTTTTTGAAGAGGCTTTCTTCCATCCTGTGTTTTTGGCTCCCCTATCAAAGATTAGTTGGGTATGGGTCTGTTCATTTCTGGGTCTCTGATTCAATTCCATAGGTCTTCAGGCCTGTTCATGTGCCAGTACCAAGATTTTTTTTTATATAACTACAGCTTTGTAATAGAATTTCAAGTATGGTATTGTTGTTCCTCCGGGGTTATCATTATATTATTCTTCCTGCTGGGTATTATTTTTGCTGTTGGGGTCTTCTATTATTCCATATGAATTTTTGGGTGCTTCTTCTATATCATTGAAGAATGTTGTTGAGATTTTACTGGGTATTGCTTTGAATTTGTAGATAGCTTTGGGCAGTATTGCCATTTTCATGATGTTAATTCTCCCAATCCAGGAGCATCGGAGGTTTTTACACTTCCTTAAATCTGCTTTAATTTCCTTTTCAGGTTTTTAAAGTTTTCATCAAAGAGGTCCTTCATGTCTCTAGTTAATTCCTAGGTTTTTTTTGAGGCTATTATAAAAGGAATTACTTTCCTGATTTCAGCCTTGCTCTTCTCATGGTTAGTATAGAGAAAAGCTATTGATTTTTGTGGGTTAATTTTAAACCCT